CTGTTTTACGGTTTTGTTATTGCGAGTCGACATGGTTCATACACCAAATGAATTATGTTTAGATTCATGATCTGATTCCCATGATCTTTTTCATATTTTAAGGTTCCTAGTGAAGAAGATTTCTATGCGGATATACTGAGGGATGAAATAGTAAAGCTAGATGATCCAGCGGTCTCCGGTAATACACTAATCAATGTGCCAAGGCTTCAATCAGAGTCCAACACCACAAGAGTACTGCCTTTACCAAACATGGTAGATATACAAATGCAATCATTGCTACAGAAACTGCCATTACAAAATGACACTGGAGAAGAGAACAACATATCCATGTCAAATTGCTTTATCGGTATCTACTCGATTAAGTCTATAAACCGAGCACGATGGGACGTTGTAGCTTGGGTGCTGGTCATGATAGCCGTGTTGGTGTTTTATCTAGTGTGAGGTTTAATGAAAAGATCTTCTAGGCATTTTACTTGGTTCTGTTTTGATGTTGAGAGAAATGTTTTGTTGCTTGTGTTAGGCTTAGCTAGTTTGTGGTATCATTCTCTCCATTACATATCTATTTATATTGTAGTGTCTATGTGCACCGACCACCGAGTATATGAACATTAGCCTACCGAGAGATATGTAATTCTGTTTCAGGCAGATTTTATATCTTTATAAAAATTCATTTTGAACCCACAAGAGCAATGCTATTGCATATATGTAGTCTCATTTAATGTGTGAATCCAATGTTATCTTGTGGTTTATGTATGAATATGTCTCTTTCCACTAGTCCAAAACATCTTCTTCTTAGGGGTTTTGACTTCTACTATATGCTCATCTTCTTCATTTCTGACTTTAATCTGTAACCAAAAGATTAATTCATGATTTTGTACTTAATATGTTTTAATTATATTGGATAGAATAAGTTTAAAAATTTTAAGATTTTTAAATATTATAATTGAATTTTTTAATTTAATTAAATAAATTTTTTTAATTAATAGAAAGTTTAAACTATAATAGAACGGAGTTATATGGTAGTACATATTATTATTAAAAATTTTAAATATTACTATGATTTATCCTCTGATAAACCAGATGACAACTTTTTTTTATCTTTTTACTTTTATATACAATTTTTTGTTATGTTATTAATTCTCTTTGATTTATTCATATATACTTTCTTAATCTTTTTTTTTCAGTTAAATCTATACTAATGGATCTTCCTAAAATTAGGTTACCCCTTAAAAATTAAATTTTGAAAATTTAAATATCAAAGTAAAATAGAAAAACAAATATATGTGTTTTCGTAGTACATAATTACAGTAATTGGTAGAGGAAAATGTTATATATCAAAATAAAATATATATTAAAATACGCATATACTTATAATAAAATTCATAAAAATTATATATTAAAGTAAAATGTAAAAATAATTGTCCCGTGGAACACCTCGGGTAATTTCTAGTACTACTAATTAATTTGATAGTACAAAAATCAAATAGAGATATTCATTTCCTCAGGGGTGTAATGTTACCATTCTCAGAACTAAAGCTAAATTACTAATAAGTTAAAAGATACGATCAATTTTGGCAAAAACAAAGAGAAGAAGAAAAACAAATTCGTAGGAGTCACCTGAAAACATTCGTAGTCCTCTTCTTTGCGCATTCATCAGAATATTACCTCAGCTTTTACATTTCTCTACTGACGCGCAAAATCTCATTTGGTGTTTTCTAATTGTCGAAACTGATCTCGAATTCGATTTTGTAAAGATCTCGTTCAATTTCACCATTAGAGACCCTGACGGTGGTGGTGGTTGATCATGAAGTTTGGCTATTCTTCTGGTCAAATTCGATTCGTAAGTTCAAGATCATCTTAATCGCTTCATTGGGTCTTTGTTTTTGTGGGTGCTGAGTAATGGGTTTGATTAAAAATCGAATTTTTGATCTTAGAGGTTGATGATGATGCCTTGTCTCTGCTAAGCCCTAGGTGATAGGTCTTAAATGTGTTATTAGTACTTTCAATTGAATTTATGTGTGTTTTTTTGAGTTGGTAGGCTTGTGAATAGTGTAAAAGGATTATGACTTTGGCCAATTTTTTTGGGGGCAGGTGTTTTAAGCAACTGATATAGCAATGTCGAAGCCGATCTTGCTCGTGTGTCTACTAGTTATACTTATAGTGACCTCTCAGTTTGAATGGAGGCAACCACTTGTTGAGTTAGATACAGCCACTAGCTTGTCTCAGAAACAGCAGCAGATTTCAGATAGGGAAGAAGCTGTCAAAGAGAAGGTACTGGTTTCTGACTCTTTCATGTGTATTCTCTGTGTTCCCCTTTAGAAGACTAGTAGTTCTAGTTCTTTGTAGGAGACCTGGAATATCATAGATGTTGTGAACATAAGATGAAGTGTTGTGTGTTTGTGTGTGTGTGTAGAGTGGTTACCTTAGTGTCCTGATAATTACGCTTCACCTTCATATGTCCGTTGCTTGGTATGTAATACTTTAAGAGTCATATTTTTACATTTGGTAAATCAGTTTTTAATCTTTTGTTTATTGTCATGGAATATGTCTTCATTACCAAGGTATATGTTTACACTTGATTACTTCAGATGGGAGTTTCTGCAATTCCAAAAGTTTTCTTGGATTGGATTCTGTGTCTTTATGTCTCTAACTCTCCAATAAGATTTTTGAAAGTTTGTTAAACTGTTTGGTTGGATCGCTTGATGGAATCTCGAATAATAATTCTTTCTAATGCATATTGCATAAGATACCTGATAGACGTGGAATATTTATAAGACTAGCATAGCGTCTTTGATCTTACTTTGGAGTACCATCAGGATCCAATTGGATTGATATTCATCGAGTAACCTCAGGTTT